ATTCAAGATCCTGTATCTTTTCCTGACTAAAACTCTCAGAAACTGAGGAAGAAAACTTCCTCATCTGATAAAGTCATCTGGAAAACCTATAGCTAGCCTCATACTCAGTGCTAAAGAGAACATTTTCCTTCCTAAGTTCAAACACAAGTCAAGATGTTCACTCTCACCACTTCCATTCAACATTAGTAGCCAGTTAGATAGTTCTCAGTGAAGGCAATGGCATCCACTCCAGTGCTCTTGCCTGGAAAATCCCGTGGACGGAGGAGCCTTGTAGGCTGCAGTCCATGGGGTTGCTACGAGTCAGACACGACTGAGCGACTTCACTTTCACTTTTCACTTTCATGCATTGGAGGAGGAAATGGCAGCCCACTCAAGTATTCTTGCCTGGAGAATCCCAGGGACGGGGAAGACTGGTGGGCTGCCGTCTATGGGGTCACACAGAGTTGGACACGACTGAAGCAACTTAGCAGCAGCAGCATATAGTTCTAGTCAGTGACAAAAGACAAGAAAAAGAATAAAGGGCATCCTGATTGGAAAAGAAAAAGTTAAACTGTGCTTATTCTTAAACATCTTTGTGTCTGTAGAAAGTCTTATAGAATCTAAAAAAGAGCTACTAGAGATAACAGTTGAGTTTAATTAGGTTACATGATGCAAGAACAATATATAAAAATCATTTATTTCCTGCAAACTAGACATGAACAAGTAGAAATTGAACTATAAAAGTTTCCATTTACAATAAGGCAAAATATGAAATATTTAAGGGTTGTATTAGTTTCCTATTGCTTTTGTAATAAATTAGCGCAAACTTAGCGCCTTAAAACAAATAAGACACACCAGTCATCCTATAGTTCTAGAGGTTAGAAAGTTCAAAATTTGTCTCAGAGGGATAAAATCAAGGTATTGGCAGGGCTGCGTTACTTCTGGAGGCTTTGGAGAAGAATCCACTTCCTTGCCTTTCCAGGTTTTAGAGGCTGCCCAATTCCTTGGCTCATGCTTTCCATGACATCAATCTCTGATTCCATCAACACATCTCCATCTCTGACTCTGACCTTCCTATTTCCCTCTTGTAAGGATCCTTGTGTTTACATTGACCCACATGGATAATTTGGGATGACCTCCCCATCACAACTGCACGTGGTTAATTCATGTTAAGTGACATGTTTTCAGGTTTCAGAGATCGGGACATGGACATCTTTGGGGGCCAACATTTTGCCTACCACAATCTACCCTTTGACTCCCAAAGATTCATGTTAATCTCACATGAAAAATGTGTTTACCCCATCTCAATATCACCAAAGTACCAAACGTTATATAGCACCAACTCCAAGCCCCAAATCTCATCTAAATATCACCAGTTCAGAAGTTCCAAATCTCATGATCTAAGTCATCTAAACTGAGCTTCTCAGGTGTAGGTCAGACTCTGGGTATGATCTGTCCTGGGGAGAAATATTGCTGTCTGCCTGTGGACCTGTGAAATAAGATAGCATGTTATCTGCTCCCCAAATACAATGCAGAGGTGGGGAGGCAAGCCCAGGATACCAGGTAGACATTTCTGTCCCAAAGGGAGAAAATTAAAATAAAAAAAATCACTAGTTCCAAGCCATTTAAAAATTCAACCAAGGAAACACCATTAGATTTCAAGACCTACGAGTAATTTTCTATAGCTCTCTGCTCTGCCCTTTGGTCTTGTGGTTCCAACCTCTGGACTCGAGGCTCTGTCTTCAGAGTCATCCTTCCTTTATCATGAAGGGTAGCCTGTGTTTGAAACTGGGGAGTTTCATTCGTCTGTTTCCTGCCTGCAGAATCTTAGGGTCCTGACATCCTTCTTTCATTCTGTCTTGTATCCATCACTTTCAGTCTTTCTGTTGGTATGAAATTCTTAACAACCTTGTGGTTCTCCTACGCATATCACAGGGACTTCTGCCGCTAGACCTGGCTCTTCCACACATCTTCCCTAGATAACATCATCTCTGTTTTTGGCTTCTTCTGAGATGGCTGAAGGGATACATGAGTCACAAGCTCAGTCTCTTCAAAGAACTCTCTGCATGACCAGATACTGTGACTTTTTGTTCCTTTAAGTTCTTAGCAGAAGGTTGTCCAGTTATAACCTCCTTTCTCTCTGGAGCAAGATTTTCCTGACAGCAAACTTCCCAGTTTTAGGGTCTTTTGCAAACCACATAGACTGATAATTTCCCAAATCTTCACGTTCTGGTTCCCTTTTGCTTAATATTTTTTCCTGCAATCAACCTTTCCTCTTGCGTTTAAATATCGGCAGCAAGGAGGAGCCAGGCTGCCCTTTCAAATACTTTGGTTAAGGACTTCCCTGGTGGTTCAGGGGTGAGGAATCCACCATATAGAATTTTAAAAAGAGAGCCAAAGTGTCAAAGCTACAGGTTATGAAACCTCGAGGAGAAAACATGAGGAGATTTCTGCACTCTCAGATTAAGTAAAGATTTCCTGGATGTGACAGACAGCTGGGGCTGGGGTGATATTCCTCCTCTTCTCACCCTGGGTGTGCTGATGGTTCTTGGACCCACACGGGCTATTCAGTAACTGTGAGCAGGAGGCTAAGACATCACGATGGTGTATTCACTAAACCAGAGTCTGGAGCCACGTCCTTTCGTATTTCTTGTTAATGTGAGACAATAAACCTCTGCTTCTTTCAGCCACTATGAGTCAGACTTCTGGTTAACTGCAGCTAAAGCACTTCTAACAGACACACTGCCTTTCAGATGTGAGCCTTAACTTGCCATCCCCAGAAGCCTCCTTCCCCAGATTGAGATAGACTGTTCCTCTAGGCCGTGGGGGATGCTCGCTCAGTCACTGTGTCTCTCCCCCTCTCACACCCAAGCAGGACCCCCGGTCCTGACCCAGTGAGACCAGTGTCCCCAAGGAGTGGCCTGTCAGGGGTAGGTTAGGTAGCAAGTAGCTAAAGGACAAGGCAGGCAGGCCTGGAGCTGCTCTTGCTCACCCTCACCTGCGGGCAGAGTCTGTGGTTCCAGAAATAAGTAGGAGAGTCTCGTGGATCTTGTGAGTCACCCAGCAAGAAAGAAGATGCAGGCCACGGTGGGTCCGAGGAGGGAGGTGTGCCCCATCCAGGGTTTGCGGCATTGCCCTTGCAGCTCAGAGCAGGCTGGGTCCCCCACATGGTCTCGACAGAGGGGACACAAATGCAAATCTGCACCATTGTTTTCTTGAAAGAACAAACTCTTCTGCACTTTCCAGGGGTGACCGAGTATTGGGCTTTTGGAAAGGCCCTGGAGGTCAGAGGGGCTCAGGCCCTGCCCCAACTCCATCACAGCCCCATCCCTGATGCATCGGAGCAGCCCCCCAGGAGGAGAGGGCCACCCCTGGGAGCAGGCCTGTGATGAGGGCAGTGTTTACAACCTTCAGGGCCTGGGAACCTGTCGGGTGGAAGGAAAGCATGGACTTTGACATCCTATAGTGACAGCCTGTCCTGGAGTCCGTGGGATGGTGGAATAGAGTCCCCTGTGGAGAAGACCCCAGCCCTGGAGGCAGCTCTGCGTCTCACCAGGGAAGGCAAACTGGGCCTTGTCTGAGGAGAGGGCCTGGGCAGAGCCAGCAGTGGTGGGATTCAGGGTGCAAACTTTCCACCTTCCTGCAGTGAAGAGCTTCAGTGGCTTAACTTCTCCCATCAGGTAGGCGGGGGGCTACGTGGGAAAGGATGGGGTGGGGAGGTGTTACCTCGCCAGTAGGGGGACTGAATGCCAGACTCTCTTCCTGCAAACAGAAGCCTGGGGTCCTACCCGCTTCCCTTCACCCTCTGATGCTGTTGTTGTGTTTTGCATATACTCCTTTGGCAGGTCCTTACCGGAGCCCCTCGCAACGGATGCCGTCCTGAGCATCTGAGCATCGAGGAAAGAGTGAGTGTCGGAGAGGCAGGAAAGGCAGGCAGCCACGACTAGACCATGTCTGGATGTGACCTTGAGGGCCATGGGGCCACTGAGGTCTGCCTTTGGGAAGAGGCTCTGGGGCTGCGTGGCAAAGAGGGCCTGTGGAGGCTTTTGTATAGGAGACATCCGGGCGGATGTCCGGCCCTGCACGTGGGAGGCTCTCTGTAAACATTCGCGGTTGAATGATGGAGGGGGGCAGGTAGAGGAGGGGCAGGGTTAGAGAGCTGTGTAGCAGGTGGAGGCTGTTCCCAAGCCCCACGGCCCGACGGAAGACTTCATCTTCCGTCACAGAGGCTGGGGGCTCGGGGACTTGCTGGCTGAGGGCCGGCCAGGTGGAGACGCCTGTTGTTCCCACTTCCCAGCCGCCCTCGATCACAAACAGGAGCAAGCAGCCGTTCAGGGTTTCAGGTGTTTCCTTTCTTTGTTCCTTAGCGTGTTGTCCTGGACACACACCTGGAGCCACCTGTCTTTCTACTCCAGGGCCTTTGTTATCAGAGAGGATTCATCTGACCCACGTCCCAAGGACGTGGTTCCTCCTGAGAGGAACCTTGATGACAGCATTAAATGCTCGGTCATCAGCTCTCAGCACGTGTGTTAGATGGACTAGGAGTCTTTGGAGATAAGTCTTCCTGTGGTTGCATGAACCAGGAAAACAGCTCCACATATGAACAGTCTCTGGGTGGCAGCCCTTCTCAGGACCTTTAGTTGTGCCACAAGAGTCTCTAAGAGGGAGCTTCTGTGTGCAGGGTGCCCCAAGGATGCTGGACTGATGGACACTTTTTGCAATCTCCGTCTCCCAGACCTGCTGCTCTGGGGTCAGGGAATAGCAGTTGGAGCCAGACTGGCCTCTGGGCGGGGGAGGGGGCGGTCTTCCCCAGGCCCCTCCTTTCTTTGTTGGGCAAACTGAGGTCTATAGAGAGAAGGGAACTCCCTGGCTGAGCCAGCAGGCGGACTCTGGGCTGAGGACCGCGGGCAGGATGGCGTCTCCTCTGCAGGCTTTCTGCCTGTACTCCAATTTCCCCGGTTCTTGGAGGGGCCTGCTCTTTCATTGCAAAAGTCTCTTTTGGAAGGCATCCGAGAGGGTGACTAGGGGTTGGGCTTTGCCCTGTCTGTGTCCAGGGGTGGTGTGGACCTGTATGCCTGCGTCCTTCCGTGTCGGCTGAGAAAGCCGTGTCTCAGCAACAAGACAGACACTGGACAGAAAGCAGTTAAAGCCCAGACGTTCCCCAAGGAGCCATTTGTGGGCCCGTGAGGCGGGAAGACGTCTGTCTCGGGGGCGATGGCGGTGATGAGACAGGGCCTGGCTCTGGCTGCTCTGAGCCTCCCCGCGAGGCCTGGGGACAGCACCACGGTGGGCACCGGGTCTGTGGGATCTGTAGGGGCTGCCAGCTCGGGGGCAACCATGCTTGGCTGGGATGCAGCTCAGGACGGGCAGGGAGGGGCCAGGATGTCAGGAAAGCCAGCATATGTGACAGTTTCCTTGTGTGACTGTCCCAGAGGGAACTTCATGTCACTGAGCACAGAGCAGGCCCTTCCTTACCTCATCCTGGCAGATGTTTATGGGGGATGAGGGGTCTGCTTCACACCAGGCGGCTCCGAGTGGGGCCTGGTAATGAGGAGAGGGACAGTGTCTAGTTTGGGTTCTAGGCTTGTGAGACCAAGAAGAGGACTCAGGTACCATTAAGTTTGCTGAGAGCTGATCCCCGGAAGCAGGATCAGGGAAGGGGACAACTTGAACGTCTGGGGCCGTGATGCCCGATGCCATGGGGAAATGCAGGCTGGGGGTGGACTGTCGGAGGGGATGATGGTGCAGGGCCAAGCCGCCTGCTGGCTCCCTGCCTGCTGCAGAGGTTTGCCCCAGGGGTGGACCCTGCCCTCCTGGCTGCGCTCGGCCCAGGTGGGCTCCACAAGCATGATGCGGGGTTGTGCATGATGCAGGCATGAGGTGGGCTCTGTCAGGGTGGGAGGTGGGTGGGAGGTCACCAGACACCTGTCCCCAAGGCATGACTGGGTCAGAAGTGGCTGCCTGTCTCCAGGGCATGAGGAAGTAGCTGGGCTCGGGGAGAAGGGGACAGAGGGAGCCCAACCTTTCTATCCTGTGGTCTTATTCCCACTCAACTTCCTGTGCAGGCCATTAGCTACCCTTTAATAGCCATCATCACAATGTATTACCTTGGAAGAACGAGTTGTAAAAGGGCCATTTTTGGAAAATGTGGTTCGTGCAGCACCCCCCACCCTTCCTCCTGAGCAGTGAGCCAGCTGCACCACTAGAACATTCCTAGGAAGGGGCTCAGGAATGATTTACTCACCGACTTCAGATTCTTCCTGAAAAACCGCAAGTTAGAAATTCAAGTTAGAATTTTCTTTTCCCCTGTAGATATTGAAGACGAGGCCTACCAAGCCTGCTGAGATGGCTCCCAGGTTAGTGGGAAGATATTTTTTTCCCTGTTTGGTGTATCTGAGTTGTGCATTTGTGAGATGCTCCCCACCTTAGGGGAGGTGTGTGTAGAGAAGTCTGTCCTCAGAATCCGGTGAATCCTCTGCATCTGCCCGTGGCCGGCCAAGCATCCCTGATGAGGGCTTCCTGTCCAGGTGGTGCTCAAGCTCTACCAGTCTGTCACACAGGGCTGCCTCTGGAGGGAGGAGCCCCGGCTGCCTGCTCAGCGGTGTTTCGTGTCAAAATAATTCAAGCAGAAATGTATGTTCTTTTTGCCATCCAGGAAGGTTCCACAGAGAGGCTCTGAGGCCGTGACGTGTCTCCATGTCTTCGGGAGGGGTGGGGTCAGGGCTGCCAGCTACAGGCTGGGACTGGAGCCCTGATGTGCTGGGGCTGGGAGTCAAGTCAGGGTGTGGTTATCAGAGGGCAGGGTTGGGGCAGGAAAGACCCAGCGAGGACAGGGGCAGCAGGGGAAGCCGATGCAGGAACCTTGTCTGTAATCCAGTTGGTTAGATTCCAGCCACCAGAGCCCAAGGCAAGAACCCAAGGTCATTCCAACAATGGCCATTCAGCCTGGGTTGGTCTGGTGGTTATTGGCTTAGATGGGGACCCAGGAGGCACAGGCATCAAACTTTGAACAGCCCAAGGACAGAGGGAGATCATCTATATTAGAAGCCAGAGCTGGATTAAAACAAGACCCCATTGGTTGATGAGGGGGGACAGTCTTAGAAAAGGAAAAGAGTTAAGAACGAGGGGACAAGCTCTGCATCAGGTCCAGTTGTGAGTACAGTACCACAGAGATAGAAGGAGTTGGTCAGCGGCATAGGTAGCAAGTTCCTAGGGGAAGGGTGGGTCTGATCATCCACTCCCTCCCCTGGGTGGGTGCCCAGGGCGTATTTAAACACTGGGGCTGGCCTCTCCTAAACTGATTGGACCAGAATGGGGACTTGATCCAAGCAGATCCTGTCTTGTGGCAGGATGAGCTCATCAGCTTCGTCCCTCCCAGAGTCTGGGATTGGGACCAGAGATGGATAGTGGCCCTTGAGCTGGGCAGCCATGTTTGAGTGTTCGAGCAGGTGCAGAGAAGAGGGATCTGGAGGAGAGGGAGGAATGTAGAATCTGCTAACCAGCGAGGGGTGATGAGAAACTGTGCAGCCATGGGTTGGGCTGGGCTGCTGCTGGAGAAGGCCACTGACTTATCCCAGCCAGCCTTGGGTCACCACGTTCCTTGCCGTCACTTTCTGCCCTTAGTTCCTTGATACATTCTCAGGCCTCGTGTTAGAGTCCACCTTTTGTGAGCTGACTTGGTAGGCTTTGGTCACTGGCATCTGATTCTTCCTAAGAGAGTCAGTGTCCTGGTTGTCATCAGCAGGACGGAAGCCACTGGGAGAAGGAGCAGGTGGGCAGGGCCTGGGCTGGGAGGGGTGGTCCCGCAGCTGTGTCGGACCCCTCCATGTTAGACCCATCAGTTCATCTGGGCACTATCCCCACAGGAGACAGACCAGGCTGCTGTCTGTTCATGGAGCATGACCCTGGTGTCAAGGACACCTGGATCTCTGGCGTTGGAGAAATGGCCGAGGGTCATACATTCTGCCTGGAGGGAAGTAGACTTTGTGTGGGACATAGAGAGCATTTATAAAACATTTCTGATTTATTCATTTCTCTGTGTCAGGTCTTGAGTTCTAGCATGTGGGCTCTTGATTGCATCATGTGTGATCTTTTGTTGCAGCCCACGGATTTTTTAGTTGTGACGTGCGGGCTCCCGAGCACGTGGCCTTTAGTGTTTTTGGTGCATGGGCTCACTTGCCCTGCAGCATGTGGGATCTTAGTTCCCGGACCAGGGATCAAACCTGAGTACCTTGCATTGGCAGGAGGATTCTTAACCACTGGACCACCAGGGAAGTCCTAAGAAGCCTTGAAGTTTGAAGCCTTGTGAGAGGAAAAGGAAGGACTGTCCCGTGCTCTTTAAGACTGTGGCATTTTTTCCACAGGTTAAGGGTCCACTTTTGGCCTGGTGTGGGGGAACACTTCTCCTGGAGTGGCCTGCCGCAGGATGGAGGCACTTGGGCACAGGGGCTCCCTGTCCCTGCAGCTGAAGGAATGGGTCTCACAGGACATGGAAGAATGGAGCTGATGGCCTGGACTGGACCACAATAAAGGACATCTCCACCCAGGTCGAGGACAGCCTCTAGGCAGGACCTTGAAGATGACCTTGACCAACAGCCAGGACCACAGAGACTATCTTTACTTGCAGGTAGGACCTAATCCCAGGGCAGGAAAAGCCCCTAACCGTGACCGTGAAGATGACTATGACCAACGATCATGACCATGGAGAATATCTTCTTCATCTGGATGGCGCTGATGCCAGGGCAGGGGCAGCCCCGGGAATGGCCATGAACATGAGTGTGTTGCAGAATCTGTTGGGCCCTGTGACTGCAGGACGAGCGGGTGAGGCCTCTGGTCTGGAGACCCTCGGCAGGGCTGGGGAACTCCTCCCAGGGACAAGCTTGAGGAACCACAGCGGTCGTGATATTATTTGGGGGCTGCTGTTGCCCTACAGCTGGGGGGCAGGCGCACCTGTGGCTGGGGGGATTTGGAGGAATAGTGGTGGGGGGTTCTCTGTGGGAGGAGGGGTGGGGTGTTTGGAGTAGGGGTAAGAGGCACAGGGTGGGAGGTGTAGTGACCTTTTGGGCTGAGAAGAGGGGAGGCCCCATGAAACCTGCTTTCTGTCTGGGTTACACACTTCCTTCCTTCCTTTTCTCAGGCTCTGGGACCAATTTCCCGGGCAGGTGACCAGTGTTCCTTAAAGACCAACCACAGCGTGCCCTCCACCTTTCCAGACCGAAGCCCTCCATCAAAGCTTGTTCCAGGGCTGTGCTGCTAGAGCCCAAGTCCCACTGCCTCTTGTCCGCTGCCTAGAGAGGGACCGGAAAACAGGCCGTTTGAGGAGCCCAGGTAAAACCGTCGAGGGCACCTCTGGGGAGAGAGTTACCCAGGGGAGCTTTCCAGGGATGGCAGAGCCAGCGAGGGAGTAGGAGGACAGGGCAGAGGAGAGTCTTGCCTGGGTCCTTCCCGGAAAGGGATTTGTGTGGGCTGGGGCTGTGGCCGTTTCTGGGGCAGCTGCAATCTGGCAGCTTGTCGTAATTATCTGTTAGTAATTATCCACTAAGACTTTGGTAAACAGCAGCCTGTTTAGCCATCCTTGAAGAATTAAATCATCACTTTTATTGCTCTATCCACTCGCTATTAACCTCCGAAGAGGCTTTTCTGCCTCAGATCCAGGGTTTCCATTTGATGGGCTCCCGGGAGAACGTTCAAGGGAGGAGGCCGTGGGGAAGGGGAGACGTGCGCGCCCCGTTGTCTGCTGGAGGTGAGACCCTTGACTGTGGGGCCCCGTGGGTGCCCTGTGTCACATGTCTTCTGTGACTTGGCGCCCTGACCGCGGCAGGTCCTTTATAGAAAGGTAGAAGCTTCTCACATGGAGAGTGTCTTAGGAAGCCAAGGGCTCAGCTTGGAAGGGCCTGGAGAGTTCTGGACACAGTCAGGCAGAAGGCTGACCTGGTCCTGGGGTGGGTGTGGCGGCAAGATGGAAGGAGGTCCTGTTTGCCCTTGGAGGGTGCGCTAGGCTCGGCCGCTTGGATGAAGGTCAGACGAGGATCAAGGACAAACCTTCGGAGAGGATCTGCCCTGACTTCCCCTCCGGCCAAGGTTGCCCTTTCCTTTCCGGACATTTCAAGGGCAGCCCGAGGCCATGACAACGAAGATGAGCCCCCTGCAGCATGGGATGGGCCCCGGCCTGTGGGGAAGGTCTGAGGTCCGGAGGCCGCCGGGGAAGGAGAGTTCCTCCCGGGGCCAGCTGGAGAAACCATGGCCGCTCATAAGGTCTCTGGCTATGCAGCGTTTGCTGGCCAGTGGTGCTAGGGGTAAAAAACCCGCCTGCCAATGCAGGTTAGACATAAGAGATGCT